AATCTCACCCTACTAGCAGTTACCATCCTAACAGCCTACCCTGTTCTTTTCCTACAATCCAATTAAACGGTGTTCTCTTTGGTCACTTCTTCCTTTGACCCTTGTTTTCCTCTTAGTTGATTAATTACTTTTTTCTGATCTTTTAACAAATATCCTCTTCCTTTGGATGAATGAATGTAACAGAACTTTACTCTTATGATATACTGTTGTAGAAGTTTTACATAATCTGGCGGTTGTGTAACTCTGGCCTTTACTCCCTCAAATCTCTCCCTAAAAATGCACTGGGTCTCTTTTTCTATATTTTTACATTCATGTATTAGATTAACCAAAAAACTTCCACAGACTCAGTCAGCTCCCAGTATAAAAGTATAACTCCTCAAACTTTTGTGGACTGGAACTACTCACTTGTTTCATCTACCTCTGTAAATCCATCCCATAATTGATCTTGTTACAGGGCACCCCAGTGTGAACTGGGCCACCTGTTCTGTGGGGCCTCACCTGCGCGCTTAAAATTCAGTCGTACTGCAGGCACGCACAGAACAGTCGATAATGGGTTTCTTCACAAAAGGGGAAAGGAAAAGGAACAACCCAGGGAAAGAGAGAGATACAATGTACCTGGAATATCTTACCTGCTGGGTAAGAGCTCTGGTAACTAACTGAAAGCCCCAAGTCACACCGTCCGAGCGCCGTTTCCCAAGCGAGAGAGCGCTGTAGGAAACAATGCCCTATTTATCCCCGAAAGTCCCAGAATTTCTGCTTAGCTCTTCCCTTGGGTCTTCACAGTTCTCTCCCTGGTACTGCTGGGAGTTGTAGTTTTAGTCACTGGAGTAGGGGAGCAGAGTCCAGAAAGCTGGAGTAGGGGGTGGAGTCCACAGAACCTCTGCAGAGTTACTTTCGGACATCCTTCCCATTAACAATCTTATTAAGAGTTACTAAAATATTTTATCAATTTATAACCTGCTCAACAGACCTACTACTTAAGCTATCACTCCTAATGCCCAATTTCAAGTTCTAGGTCGCCACTTTTCAAACCCTCAATACCTGGTGACATGAACTTACAAACACTATTTCCCATAATTCCCAGTCCAAATGTGTTATAGTCCATTGATCTTCTTGTTTCTTTTACCCAAAATATCCTCCCTTTAACTTTCTTTTTACTTTCCTAAGTGTCTGTCACCCTTGAAGTCATAGATTCCCACCACCTGGTTAAGCTTCACCTGAGTAGGCAGTCCACACTGACTTCATTTCTAGGCAATTCTAGTTTACTCATCTTTTTTACTGGACCAACCAATATAGAAACTTTTGGTTTTTATATTACCATTTCCTAACTAGAGGAGTGTTTTTGTAATGTGAACACCTTCGTTGTTGAAATAAACCTAAGACGTGATTCAGTAAAGATACTGATGCCAGAACACCAAAATATTGACTCTGAAGCCAAGAAGAAAATACTAAGTTGGAGAGCCTTTAACTTGGAATTTTATGTCTTTAAAAAAATTTGAAAAATGAATGAATGAAACTCATTCCTATCATGTGAAGTTATAAAAGTTATGTACTTTTTATGCTAGTGCAGATACAGTAGAGGATAGGGCATTCAGCAGCCTCTGATTTATTCTCAAGGTCTCTTCCCAGTTCTCACTATGGGCAAATCACCCACCTGATGGATTTCCCCTTTTGAGTCACATCTCATTTGGTTGCCCAAACCATGCCCATCCTTGTTTCTTTGTCCGTATTACCAATCGCAAATAGTTCTTAGATTTCCTTGGGGCTAAGCATAGTTAGCCCAGAAATTGCATTTTTAGGGCCAACGGCTGCTCTTCTATCCAGTGATGGCAGAGTCTGTATGCTCTGGATGGAGATTTGAGCTCCCCTAAATTCCATGGCTGTGTTCTCTCAACCCTATATATCTAGAAAAATCTTTAAGCCTGCTTCTGAGATGAATATATTAATATCTTGGGTACTGAAGCCAGATACATCTCTAAGTCTTAAAATAGTGGATAGGAGATAAGAAATATAATACCCCCCTCAGTTTAAAGATCACTTGCCTGTACCACCCCACCTTCTAATCACATCCAGTCTAAGTCAGTTCTCTTTGTTTGAAAATTGCTCTGAATTTTCTACCTATCTTTCTGAATGCTTAATATTTACTCAGAATACTACAGCACAGTAGGTATCTATTCTAGTTTGGAGTTGATCAGTTGATCTTTCTCATTACAATGTCAACTCTCTAGAGGAGAGACTGTGGCCCTGGCCATCTCTGCACAGATTAACCTCAAGGAAAAGAAGTCTCAGGGAAGGTTACCTGTGACCACAGAATTAATTGCATGGAGCACACTTGTGTGGCTAACTCCCCAGTATGGCCAACAAACAGGTCAGCAGAGCACAGTGCACTCTATCCTGCAAATAGCTGCAGCCCACTACTTTGTCTCAAGTAGAAACTACAAGAAGCCCCAGGTCCGGTACAAACGTGTACCCCACCCTTTGCATTGGGCACATACTTCAGACTCCAGACCCCAGGCTCCTGCTTCATTTTCTCACGTCTCCGAGTCTCCTGCATTCAGGCGACGGGCAAACATAGCGGTCCACACACCCCTTGGTGGGTTAGCAACAACTTGCAAGTGTGCAAATTTGAAAGTGGCCAAGTGTCTATCTATCTATATATATCTATATCTATATCCGTATATGTACAAACACATATATACAAACACACTGTGTGTGTGTGTGTGTGTATTATATATTTGACCTAGAAATTTTAGTGACAGGGAAGAATCAATAAATAAATGGCTTGATGAAATCCAGGTGGACGCTTAGATAGTTGGGAACATATGCCATTCTGCGTGCTATCCCACAATCGGTGTTCAACAAGCACTTGTTAGATATCACTGGGGAAAGAAAGAAATATCTCCATGGCTTTTGCAATAATTACAACTTCTTTAGATACTAGAAATTCTTTTCCTGACTTTGAGCAGAGCACTCAAAAAAAAAAAAAAAAAGTCTATGTTCTAATGAAAGCAGGCATATCTTCATAACCAGAACAAGCTTTTACAACATTTTTCTTACATATTTAAAAAATGAGTGGTCCTCTCTGGTGGGGTAGGAATTAAAGTCTCAATGCTATCAAGCTATCTCCAGCCACTGCAGGCTGAATTCTATCCCTGGTCAGGGATGGCATAGCAGACATCTCCTGTCTTCCCTGCTGATCCCCTCAGCAGTGTATTTAAGTAGGTCTGCCTGTTCTGCCTCCTCACTCCTTCTGGTGAATCATCTCACCCCTTGAACCTCCGGTGTACACCCAGTTCTTCTATGTATAATTTTTTAAAAAATTAATAAAATTAAATGAATTGATTATGCTTCCCCATTACCAGATGGCAAAAGGTGGTTTCTTGGAGCGCAGACCAGCTTGGGTTCTTCAGGGTGAAATAAGGAATCCCAGCACCTCGCCCAGACTTTGGGCATGGCTTTGTTTGTTTGTTTGTTTGTTTGTTTGTTTGTTTGTTCGTTCGCCCCTGCCTTTGGCATGGCAGAGTTGGGGAAGAAAGTGACTATAAAGACTAGCTACGGGAAAGGAAGTTCAACTCAGAAACGTGCAAAGTCGCGCGATTTTTTTTTTTTTTTTTTTTTTTTTGAAGAGAGGCAGAGATGAAAAGCAGGAAAAATGGAGGGAAGGAACTGTTGGGTGACCAATAAAAAAAAAAGGCAGAAGGAAGGAAAAGAGTGCTACAAGGTTTGCTGTTTCTCTAGCTCTTCTCTCTTGCTCCAGAAACTAGAAAAAGTTGGCAAGCTCAGCCTTCCGGATGGGCCAGGAGGCTCTTCCTTTTCGGATCCTCACCGTCAGGCGCGCTTTCGCCCTTCAGATCCCCCCACTGAGTGGTAGCCCGGTCCCTAGCGGATGGAGCGCGGGCCAGAGCCGGGCTTGCGGGGCCCTGTCTGGGGGGCCAGGACCCCGCAGCGCTCTCGGGGTCTGCGCCCTCCTCTCGCTTCTCCTCTCTCTGTCAGAGCCTCCTTCCCTCAGCCTTTCTCACCCGGGAAAGGAAAAGTGAAAGATCAAACCTCTTAACCGGCCTACCCCGCCCCCTCTTCCTGGGGGTGCCAAAGTAGAAAGAACCGTTTAGTGATTCACTGGAGAGGAAAGAGGGAGGAGGTAGCAAATAACTCCGAGCGCCAAAACTAAGTAAGTTCCTGACAAGGCGCACGCAGCTTACACCGCCTTCACCGGGGCGCTAACACCCCAGGGACCGAGAGAGCTGGACGTGCAGTGCCGCCGGCCCCCAGGCAGGGACCACCACCGGTCCTGCACCGCGTGCAGCCTCCGGAGAAGGAATCCTGCCGGCAGCTCCTTAGAGAAGGGTGGTTAGTGGGGGAAGAGCTCAGGAAACTGGATTTTTCTCTCCCTCACACAGCCGCCTGCTGACTGTTGGCGAGATTGGCAAACGCCCGGACGGAGAGCGGGATAAATAGCAGTGAGCAGTGAGGCCTGGAAAAGTGGAGAAGTGGTCAAGAAGTTGGCCCACTATGCCTAAAAGCGCTGCGCAGCGGCTCAGCTTCCCAGGGCTTTCCAGGTGAGGGGACTGTTGCAGCGACTGTGGGCACCCGGCTGCCATCGGGCTTCTGTTGGAGAGAAACTGGCTCCCCAAAGTCGAGGGTGCTCTGCCCACAAAAAGTTCCAGTTCAAGGAGTTTCTCAAGTCTTTCCTTAATTTTTCTTATTGCTGAAAACTTTTGGGTGGAGGCGTTAAGATTTTTTTTTTTTTTTGACACTTCTGGGGAACAGGAGGAAAAGGAGAAAGTGAAATTTGATGGAAAAGAGCAACAACGCCTCGCTTTCCATTCAGACTTATTCCCAGAAGATTGAGGTTGTTGGTACTGGTGATAGCTGAGGGGGAGGACATTTTTGCAGTAGAGACCCCCACCTCCTTGAGTCCGCCCCTCCCGCGTGCATGTGTGGGCCGACAGCAGTGCTGTGTGCACGCTTCTGCACCTGCACGCTCAGTGGGGACCCAGTGAATGGCCCCCAGGTGCTGTGCGAGGCCACCGCCTCACCCACCTGGTCAGGCCTGGCTCTCCCCAGGAAGGATGCTAGCCATGGGAGTCCTGGCCAGCTTCTGGATTCTCAGCCTCCTCACCTACGGTTACCTGTCCTGGGGCCAAGCCTTGGAGGGCGAGGAGGAAGCGGCCTTTGGACCTCAAGCTGGAGAGAGACCAGAGCCAAGCGCAGCTGCCACCTCCCAGCCCCATCTCATTTTCATCCTCGCAGATGATCAGGGGTTTAGAGATGTGGGATACCATGGATCAGAGATCAGGACACCCACTCTTGACAAACTGGCTGCCGAAGGAGTTAAACTGGAGAATTACTACGTCCAGCCTATTTGCACCCCATCCAGGAGTCAATTTATTACTGGAAAGTAAGTACTGCTCTTCCATGTGTTTATTCCTTGAAGAAATCTTAAGTGTTTAAGAACTAGCTCTTGATTCAAGAGAGAAACAAAAAATTGTGGAAATGAATGGATGACTGGAATAGGGTATTGAGTTTTAATAAGTACTGATAGGTAATGTCATTAAATGGTCCTGTCACCAGTCTAGTCCTGTTTTGCCTGATCTTGGAGCTTGCTATGACGTGCATTTGAATTTTCAAATGAGATAAGGACTTGTAAGCTCTGTATTAACCTACCAGAGGTCTCTAGAGGTCGTCACCTTTTACCAATCTATTTTGACTTTGGGGCATGAAAGTCTCTGAAAAGGACAGACCGGATTTTTCTGTAAATCTCGGTTTGTAAACTGGGGACTTATCAAAGCTACAGGTTATCACAGAGAACAAAGGACCAAGAGAACAAGTAAAAGGCTGTGTTAGGTCTGACCAGTTTGGGACCTATGTAGCTGATGTAGCATTTTTTTTTTTTTTTAATGAATCACTGATGAAGTCCTTTTCGCAAAATGCAAGAAATTCTATGGTAAATGCTTAACAGAAGTCAAAGTTTATCTGAAGTTTTCTGCTACTTCTCACATGTCTGGGAATTTTCTAAATAACTCTAAGGAAAAATCAAATTATTTGTTGCATCAACAAAGTATCTGTAATATTATCACTACTTTGCTAAATAGTAATGATAAATAGTAAAATGTTCCTTTAAGATGTTCACTCGTTTTCATAGTTTTACCTTATTCTGCACAATATTAGATACTGTTGTTGATTTAGACTCCAAATTCATGTTGATGTGCAGTGTGAGATAAACTAAGAGATGTGGACAGGATAGGAAGTCTTGGTGGTTTCTTGTATGTATCGAGTGAGTTCAGCTTGAGAGAACCTTACTGCAGTGAAGTTGTTCTTGGAATTGGATCCTCTATGAGTAGCCAGTATCCACTGGAAAAATAAAGACTATTTTGTAGGAATCTCTGTCTTGCCGAGACTTTTGCTTACAGCATGATTTCCACTGCTCAGCAAACTGTCAGAACTTGGCATCACTGCCAAAAAAGAAATAATAAAAAAAAAAACTCATCATTTCCTCTCCTGAGAGAGAAGGAAAAGATTCACTCTGCTTTGGGGTCATTTTAAAGGTAAATTGTAATATCAGAAAGTCAAGGGCGTTTGATAATCCTAAGGGGGCAGATAGTTGGCAGGAAGTAACAAGTCTGTCCAGTGGCCCGGAGGTCGAGTTCTTCATATCCAATCCCAGTCACGCTCGTATTTGTTTATGAAATCAATGTGTCCAAGGCTTATGAGCCCTCTGCAACTAATTTATACAACTGAGATTTTCTCAGATTGTTGCCACTGATTAGCTGAAAGATAGGTTTCTGAGTTATAGGAGTTTGTCTTTCACAGTAGTCCATTTGTTTAAGGCTTTTCACCAAACAGCATTTAGTTCTGACACATAATCTTATACTGATAAACCCTCTAGGTTTTACCTTTCAATCTGTTTCCTTAATGAGTTGAACCAGAATATAACCTGAGACAATTCCTAATTTTTCTCCTATGTCCAAGGTAAAATGTCCTGTTCTTTCAATGTGGTCAAAATCTGATGAAAGTGATTTTCATATTAAAACTTTCTATCCAGGGTAACATGTTGTTTAGCTGTTTCAGAAATATTTCAGTGGCTACTATGATTTGATTTAAATTTTTATGCAAACCAAACATTTCATTCTTTTTAGAAATATGCTGGAACTTTCCTTTAAATGGACATAGATTATAAGAAGGAAAATGATAAGAGAAGACTAATATTGAGGCTAATATTGATTAGTTACTATTAGTAATCAACCCAGAGAATAAGGGCATTCGTATGGGTAGACTATGGGTCCTTTGAAGGTTTAAAAAAACAAACAAACGAAAAAATAAAAACCTAAAGGCACTGAATTATTTTGTGAGATATGGGAAGATTCAAATATCTTTATGTTATAAAGAAACAGTTTAATCACAAAACATGGGGCTATTTTTGATGCTTTTTGCAAAGTTACATCCCTTTGTACTTTGCTGCAGTCAAATGTAAAATTGCTTCCCTGGTACTGTACAAATCTATAACAAATCCATCTGCCTTCAATAATTTATATCATACCCATTTGGCAACATTGGCCATTAACAAGCAATCATACATTGTGTGCAAATCCCTAAATTGGAGTTGTTGTGCATCTAAATAACCATTATCTCTCAACAGTGGTTCTCAAATTTGAGTGCAAAAGAAGAATCACTCAGTATGCTACTCAAAGTGCATATTTCCAGACTGATCAAAGATTCAGCTTCAATTGGTTGGAGATTGAGCTCAGAAATCAATAGTGATTGGCTGATAGTACTATTAATTTAAATTACAAATGTTAGTATTAAATACTAGCATCCGTCAAGCACTGACTGTATCCTCACATAATTAAGACTCACCTCACTTAATCTGCACAACTCTTTGAGATAGTTTTATTGTCATTCCCACTTTAAAGATGTAGCAACAGATCCAAGAGAAATAGAGATGTGGGGTTCTTTTGTGTGTATATACTGAACATGCCAGTGCTGGGTCTTTTTGAAAAGCAGTGACTTGAGCACATTTGTATATGTCTTGGTGAATTATATCAACATTACCTTGGATAGCTATCAAGAAGTGGGCTTGCTGGGACGTGGGGGTACAGACATCCAGTTTTGGTTGGTACTGCCGAACATTCTCGCAAAGTAGATCTACCAGTTTTAACCCTCATTCCCAATGTATGGAGAGTTCTGCTCACTTCACATCCTTATCAACATTTAGTGTTGTCTTTTTCATTTTACTCATTTTGGTCATGGAGTACTGGTAGACCAATATGGCTTAAATTTGTATTTCCCTGATGACTAGTGAAACCGTATCTTTTAATACATTCATCACTATGTGGGTAGACCCCCTTTTAAGAGTAAATTCCCAAATCTTCTTCCTGTCTTCCCATTAGGTAGCTGTTTTTCCTTGATAATTTGTGGAAGTCAATAATGTAGTCTACTCCTTTGTCAGATATTTGTGTTGTGGATGTCTTCCACTCTGCGGCTTACATTTTTACTCTTTTAATAGTGTTTTTTTTTTTTTTTTGAAGATTCACTTATTTATGCTTGCAGATCTAGGGTAAAGGCTAGAGGTGCAGGGGCAGTGAGAGACTTCACCAGAGACAGAGTGGGGAGCAGAACAGGCAGATTGACGAAGTACACTGCTGAGGGGAGCAGCGGGCAGGTCAGGAGAGGTCTGCAATGACATATGGGTCACCTCCCTCACCAGAAATCGAACTGTGCTGCAGTGGCTTTGGAGAGCTTCATAATGCTGTGCTTTAACCTGTTGTGCCACCAGGGAGAGCCCCTAATAGTGTATCTTGATGAACAGAATGTACCAACTTTATTGTAGCCAAATTTATCATCTTTTTTTATGTCCTGTGTATCTTTAAATAAATCAGATAATGACAGTGGTATTTTTCCCATAAAAGTTTTATTGCTTTATTTTTATATTTAGATCTGGAGTTAATTTTCTAGCATGGGATAAGTCTAGGTTCAAGTTTTTTGTTTTTTTTTTTTAATGTGTGTATCCATTTAGCCCACACCATTTATTAAAAAGACCATCTTTCTCCACTGCTAATTCACTTTCTCATAAACCAGGTAAATGCATATATTTGAAGCTGTTTCTAGAGGCTTAGCTATTCCATTAGTCTGTTTCCCTACCCTTGGGCAAATACTACTTTCTCTTAACCACTATAACTTTATGAGAAGTATTGACTTCTGGAATGTAAGACCTCCTACTTATTCTCTAAGACTGTTTCAGCTGTTCTTTAATAGTTCATTCACTTGCAGTGTGAAAGAAAGGAGAATACAGACATACAGATGTGAGGGAGGTAGGAGAGTTGGTTTGGTGAATGTGAGGTAGTTCTGTTCTGCATTTTCCTAAGTGAAATAGCAAATAAAATCACTAGCTGAGAAAGAAGATCTAGATGTTTAAAGACATAGAGAGAAAAGATTCTTCTAGAATAATGAGTGAATAGGGAAATTCTATAAAAGTCCTGACAGCCAGGAGAACCAGGAGATAGCTGGTCATAAATGCGAACAGTGCCACTCATCATGTTTGCTTTCCTTCTGCCATGTTCAGGTGCTTGTACATAGAAGAAGCATCATAGAAGAAGTGGGTTTAACCAGATTTGGTGCTTTGCAAAGTGACTAGAGTGGAATTGTGAATCTGGACTCTAAATCTGGCAGGGGAAGGGCTGGACAATAAAGGGTTTGTGTTCTCTCAGGATCACTTGATTGACAGGTAACACTTCAGCAAACTTAGCAAACTGTAAAGATAGATACTTAGGATCAAAATTTTGTATGTAGTGTGGTTTGGGGAACTGATATGGTGAGATCAAAAAAAGCATGCTGGGAAGTGAGGGAACTTCTGGGAAATTATCAGAAGAGCAAGATATTGTTGTGTCCATTCAGTAAGTATTGAAGTGATTAGGAACAAAGGCTATACAGAGGATATGATGAGCCAGGATTGGGGATCACTTTGAATTGAATTGAAGAGGGGTGGGGCAAGGCCAGAATCAGGTAGTGGACTCTATAAAAAATGATCAAAGGTCTATAGTGTGTTTTTTATTATTTTTTATTATTTTTTTAAGGTTTGTTTATTTATGCACACTAGAACTGGGGTACATGCCAGAGGTTCAGGGGTAAGAGGATTCACCAGAGACAGTGGGGAGCAGAATAGGAAGAGGTACTAAAGCACACTGCTGAGGGGAGCAGTGGGCCGATCAGGTCAGCAGAGGTCTGCTGCGCCATGTGGGTCAGTTCCCTGGCTGGGGATCCAACCCATGCAGCAGTGGCAGCTCATAACTTCATGGTGCTGCACTTTAACCCCTGGGCCACCAGGGAGGGCCCTGCCTTTTTAAAGGAGACAGAAGCCAAAATTGTCTCAAAGTGCTGAGGAAAGCTAGGTAAACACCCACC